AAATCAAAATCAAAAATAATTTCAAAAACTAAACCAAACATTGGTTCAAGTCCTGCTTCCACGTTAGTTAAAGTACTTAATACAAGGCCCTTGCCAATCAATCCTTCCTGTCCTTTGTATACTATGTTGATCGAACAAAAGGTTGGCTATTGAAACTTTTGAAAGGTTTGGCCACACTAAACTTCTAAAGCCACCAATCTAGATAATATAGCTTTGCTGATATGTCATTTTGACAGGTCTTTTGGAGAAGTGTTCAACTTAACCAAATAACAAAAGTTTGAAGCTCCAGCATTGCTGATGATGGGTGAGAAGATTATTTTTTTCAAATTTCCAGCAATAGAGGAACTCATAACGAATGGAAAGGTGTAAATGTCTGTCCTGATTTTGGAGATAACATATACTTGCCAGAAGGGAGGGGGAACCCATTGTTCAGGAGCAATATCCCCGACTCAGGTGAACCCAGCTAATGCTCACCTTCCGTACATAGTTGTTGATTTTCAAACATTGAAGGTTGGTCTTGTTGTTGTCAATTTGAAGTGCTGTTGAAAGGTTTGTTTTGGAGCTCAGGAAGTACTGTTTGGGTCACATATCAGTATCCCAATTTTGTGACATGCAAATATTAAAGTAAATTACACCAACCTCCACCTCAGATTTAAGAGAAAACACAAGCTTTACAGTTTTGGCACATAATTACATTGAGTTCTTTTTAAATTGGTTTCACCTGTTCATCATATAAATTGTTAGCTAAATATGAATGGAAAATTGATGTAATTAGTTACAAAACACAACAAATGTGGTATTTTTCTTTCTTGATCCTTCTATATTTTCAGCTACATATTGCATTTGTTTGGTCCAGTGTTCTAACTTTATTAAGAAGGAATGAAGAGTGTAATTATGTCAATTAGGAGCTTCTTGTTATTTTTTTTCCAAATTTTAAGAAATTACCCAGTAAATAACTCTTGTTTGGTATTCTTCAATGTTGGCACTTTTGAGTAACCACACGATTTAGATGGAAGCATGCCTGTGATAACCATAGTTAGGTGCGTCAATTTCTCGGTGGATAATGAAGCAGTTAAGATGCCTATCTAAAAAAAATCAAAAAAATGAGAGTTTTAGTGTAACAATCACTATACTAAGAAGAAAAACTTTCGCTGTCAACATAGTCTATTTGTTATCATTTTTAAAAATTTATTTTACTGTTAGGGGCATTTTGAGTTGTATCTAACAATAAACCGTGTTTTGATTATGATCTCATTTGGGCCATGTCATATTCTTAGAGGAAATTTTTTTTTTTTTTTTTTTTTTTTTTTTTTTTTTGTCTTCAATGAATTTTTTTCGAACTTCTTCACAAATATTTTACTTTTAAGTGCATCAAAGAAGTTTAAAATTTTTTTTGACTAAAATATACAAAAAGTTCATTAAGAAAAAAAAACATGGAAAACAAAAAGCTCAAAAACAATTTTTGAGTTTGAAACTATTTACCTGTAAGGAACTTGCATGGCGGCGAGGACTCCAGATTTCTTGTACAAAGCTTCATAGTTTTCAAGATCTTCCTCTGTGAACCAAGGGGGTAGAGGAGTAGACGGTTCCACCAAATCCATGATCTCTTGGTTTTCTCCCGCTATTGGTATTTCACTTTTGGAGAAGAGAATGTAGATGTTCCGCACAATTGTTTTAACATCAAAGCGGCCAAAATCAGCTTCAGCTCGTCCAGGTTCCTAGTATTGAGATTACAAACATCAAATTGCAAGAAGCTAAAATTGTTTCTTCAATTCTAAGCAAGTAAACTGAAAAAGTTACTACTCACCTTCCACCTCGAGATGTAGAAACCTTCGGGTAGGTACTTGTGGTAAGTAGAGGGACTTGGGGGCACAAATGGCACACCCAAAGTTATAATTCCCGAGACCCTCTCTGGGTAGAGAAGGGCAAAAAAGTAAGCAGGCCGAGCCCCAAAATCTTTAGCAACGAGGAAAACCTACGAATAAAATGTGTGAAAAGACAGGAAAGAGATAAAAGGTTAAATGCTATATTACATGGACTCAGGTACAAGTATATAGTGCAGGTACATGGCCAAGTGTCACTGTGTCAGATCTTCCTAAATCTAAAGATTAGGATGGTGAGATATGCATCAAAACATTAGATTGGGGTACGTGAACACATCTTAAATATTATACATATTGCATATTATATAATGTTTGTAAATAAGATGCTTTAAATTATTTAGAAATGTATTTCTCAATGAGATTTAGGAAAAATATTGAATTTATTTCTCTCATTAGTGTGGGAAGCTAGATATGCTTATTCACCAATAAATGTGAGCGCGTATTGTTCTTCAAATATCATACAAAATTAGAAGATGTCTAAATTAAATCTGGCTGTCAAACACATATCACGTACCCTTCTAGACACGGGTATACTAGGGGAAGTAGAATCGTTCATATAACACAGGTTAAATGGCTTTTGTTTTAAAAAAAAATATTTAATTAGTTAAAGGACAAATTACACTAACGGTTCTTATAGTTTGAGTCTTGTGTCACTCTGGTTAATGACTTTTCAATTGTGATACATTTGATCTTGAATTTTGAATCTCGGTCCAAATAAGGAGAATTGAAGACATAGTTGTTCCATTTTAAGGGCCAAGTCGTTAATTTGATAAAATATAAACTAATTTGACAAAATAAATGTCAACAAATTATTTTTGAATTTTTAAAAATTATTTTTACCCACTAAAGATAAAATTATATAAAAATGATAAATCTTTTACATTTTTATTTTTTTTATATTTTTTTTACCAACTTAATTTCTAGTATGTGTTTGAATAATGATCATGTAATGGATGATTGTTTTTGTTGATATTTTTGAATGGTTATTAGATAATACATGGTTGTATTTGTTATTAATAGATATTTTTTTATAGTTATCATATAATAAATGGTTATTAAGCTTTTAATGTATAATCGATATATTTAATTTATGAAATATTTTTAATTTTAAATTTTTTGATTTAATGGATGATTTAATAATAAAATCAAAATTGTCGTCATGTTTGACTTTTGAAAAGACAAAATAATTTAACGAAAATAAATATCAAAAAAAAAATATTTTTAAAAATTATTTCTACCCTTCCAAACCAAACCAAGCCTTAAGTCCCATCAAATGGGATCGGCTACATGAATCATTCTTCTCCACGCGATCCTATCAAAGGCCATTTCGTTAGTCAAATTAACTAGATCCATGTCTCTATTTACAATGCTAGTCAACGTTAATCTAGGCCTATCCCGTCCCCTAACACTCCCTTCTACCGTTATAGCATCGCATCTCTTCACTACTACCTCTGTTGGTCTCCGTTGAATGCGACCAAACCATCTCAATCGATTCTCTCTCAACTTATCTTTTATCGGTTTTACTCCTATCAACTCCCGAATACACTCATTCCTAATTCTGTCTTGTCTAGTCTTGACATACATCTACTTTAGCATCATCATTTCAGCTATTTCTACCCTTCCAAAAGATAAATTATATAAAAATGACGTATATTAAATTTTTTTTTTAACAATTTAATTTTTAGTTTCTTAGAATTTTTTTTTATGAAAATAGATTCTGAAAACCAAACAAAACAGAACTTTATAACCAAGAAAGTTTTAATATTATTCATTAAAAAAGAGGCCATTACATTTCAAATAACATATAAGCTGATCAATACAAAATAAGTTGTATGACGACTTTGCCTTTGAAATGAACCGTTTGCAAAGGAAACATCTTTGATTTCCGTATTTGGAACAATATTAAAAATTCATAGTTAAATGTATCACAATTAAAAAGTCATAAACCAAAGTGATATAAATCCCAAACTGCAGAGACTGTTAGTGTAATTTGCCCTTATTTAAATAAATGTTATTGTAAATTTTTTCCTCAAACACTTGATATGGAGTTAACTTTGATAATTGACTTTTTCTGTAAATATCAACCAAGGCTCCAATTGTTTCCCCCATGATGTTTAGTAGAATGCAAAAGGTTTCCAACCTAACATTTTCTTATGAGTTTGAGATTGCCTCTACTTTCTTAATGTTTGATTTGATTATAATCATAAAACTGTCATAGAAAACCAATTACATTTCAAGAAAATATCCATGCTACTATAACAAGGTGTATCCAAACAATTATAAATAAAAATTACAAAACTTCAACCATTTTCATATATATATATATATATATTGGCTATAATTTTGTCATTTCAAGTGAAGTAAAATTTCTAGTAGTTTTCTAAATAAACAAATTTATTGACATGTTTTTTATCGTTTCCCAATTTCTTCTTCCCCAATTTTTTGGATGTATTAGAAGAAGAAATTCCAAAACATCCCCAAAAATTTTGCATCTGTTAAAAAATACTCTGCAAAAATAGTCGAAAACCCAATATGCTCAACCACAAATGATGTCATAATCACATCTAAATAAAACAGGGCAGAACGCAGATTCATCCATAATTTAATTTCTTAAAACTAAATTTAGGGCAAATATCATCCGTGGTCTCTATAATTTGCCTCGTGTTAATTATAATTGCATCAATTTTACTTCTAATTTTTGGAAAAATAACAACAAAAAAAAAAGTCACGAGTTTGACCCTTGCAATGAGTTTTTAATTTTGTTAATTTAAACTTTAATCTTTTGATTTATTTTTAATTTAAGCTATCTACTTATTTTTGTTATGTAATACTGACAAGAAAAAAAAGGTATTTTAATTATTAAACTCAACAAAAAAAGAGTATTTTAGACATTTTATGTACACTTAAATTGAGTTAAATGGCTAAAATATTATTTCTCCATTAGTTTTAATTAATTGAAATAGGCAAATGCTTTTGATTAACAACAAATCAAATAATTAGATAAAAATTAAAATTCTATAATTTATTTTGTTATGTCAAACTCTGAATTTTTATTTTCTAATTTTCACTTAATTTTTTATATTGTATCATTTTAATCAAATTACTAATATATTACTCTCCTCAAAACATTAAGAAATTGACGTACAATTTGAAATGGCAATTCCACTCAGACTTGATCATTTGGCCCTTATTTATTTCTGATTACACAACTACGCTATTAATTAGACTTTAATTGACATAGCTTTTTTTTAAAAAAATTAAAAATTTAAATTGATTCGATTGAAACTATGGACCAAATTGACAGGCAAAATTACATTTACCACAACTATAATTTGCACCAAAACTTACTTTATTTTCCTTTCCTCTATTTTCTCGGCATCCAAACACAAAGTAACGAAGAAGAGTTGTCGGGATGGATACCTTAGGAAGGCTGAGGGCATCGAGGATAGCGAGGAGGTCGGTGATGAGGTCACCAAAGGAGACATTTCCGGGTTCGGGTGGTGAGTCTGACAGCCCGTACCCTCTGTAATCGGGCGCGATCGCTCGGTAACCGGCGCTGGAGAGGGCGATCATCTGGTGGCGCCAGGAGTACCATATCTCGGGAAACCCGTGGAGGAACACCACAATCGATTGGCCCAATCCGATCTCAGCTACATGGAGCTTCAGACCTTTCACTTCAACGTACTTGTGCTCAATCTCATCCATTTTTGAGTTTTAGAGAGAGAGAGAGAGAGAGAGAGAGAGAGAGTTGAAGTGTGCCTCGAATAGTAGTTCTTCAGTTGTTAAAGTGGTGCTCTCCGCTGCTCTTCGTCATCATTAGCAGAGAGAGAGAGAGAGATTCTGAGGTCCGTCAAGAAGTGTTTGGTGAGACACCATGTTTGTCTCATCGGCCCGGTTGGGTAGAGCAGTGGAAAAGTAATTATAATTTATAACCTCACCGTTTATAATTTATAATTGTAAATATAAGTTGATTTTTGACTTATAAATTAAGTTTCTCCTCCCTATTCAAAGAATAAATTAATTTTTGACTAACAAAAAATTATAAACTGTATTATTAAACTGAACCAAACACATCAAAATAATTTAAATTAAACTAAAAATTAAAATAAATTAAAAATAAGTGCTACTAAACAGACCATACTCCAAGAAAGAAAAATCATATATAAATTAATAATAATTAAATAATGATTAAAAAATATATTTCAAATTCTTCAGAAGAGCTTTTCTGTAGGTGATTTTTGTCCGTGTTGCCGTGATGGTCTGACAACGGTCCAGCGAACTCCTTTACATTTTTAAAATGTCGGGTATAAATTTGAATATTTTATGTGTGGCATAATGTGTTTGAATTTTCGACCCCCATAATAATTTTTTCTTTTAATCACTCTGATATTGTTGTATGTGTTTTTATCTTCAACTCTAATTTTTGGTGGTGATTAAAGTTCGACAACGAAAGTGGCAAAGTTGGGCAATAACGACTACAACAGTGGGTTTAATGTGGGTTTAATGTAGATCTTACTTTTTCAAATCACATCCCGAGTAAATTGGTGATTTTTCTTAGATAGTAATTTTTGTTTTTCTTTCGGCTTTATTTTTTTGTTGTTTGTAGTTCTTGTTGAGTTATTTATTTAGTCCTTTAACGTCTTATTGTTTTTCTTTTCTTGATTTGTATGTTGCTTACTGTACGAGTACGAAATAATGTTCTCGTATAATCCTGTTGATCAAGTTTGCACTCCTCCAAACGTCGTCGCTCTATTCCCTGAAAACACAAACGTGAGCTAGCCGGCGGGTGTGTGCCGAATACCTCTCCGATACCTAAGTCAGCAAAATAGACAAAAGCTCTGCATATTCCGAAAATCAAAATTGTGTTACCTGTACATAGGTTCTGTTGTGAGCTTTTATAGTTTTTGCCTGGCATAATCCTAGTAAGACTCTTACTCCTCAAAGTGGAGTCCTCCTAGGAATCACACTTCTGAAAGATAATACTTATCCTTCAACACCCTCATCACTGCTTAAACCAAGTGAGATGGTTTTACCACGGCTGGATAACAGTATGACCGAGCTAAAAGTAGTCCTCTGACATACTCAATTCGGTGACTCTATACGCAATGCCTAGCTCTGTCCTTGTCCACGTACACCTCGGTTCTGGCTGTTCAAATCGAGCTAACTGTAGCGGTCTCTCACCGGGCTAACCAGGATGAGGTCGATCATGCGAGGTCCCAAGCTCCTCAATTCATAGCTCGGTCCGAACTTCGCCTAGGCCAAGCTCGTTAGCTTTAAGACCGGGCTATATCAACTCTTACCCCGGCCCATTGTGCGGCCCAACTTACAAACAAGGCCCTTCCCTAGCTCCACCCAATTTATTTATAAATTACCCTCTCACTCACAAATATACCTCTTAAGATTTGCTTAAAATATGAATTGTTTTTTATTGTTTGAAAAATTATAAATAATCTCTTGTTATAATTTTTAATTTATAGATTAATTGAAAAAATAAATTTTTTAATTATTCTCCTATATAATAATAAAATTACATAAATTATTAATTAAATAAATTTCTGACATTATTAAAAGTTATTAATTAACTTGACGATTTATTAATAAAAGAGACTATTTGTTATTAAATTTGACACTTTAAGAGGCGGGATGTAATTTTTAAATCACAGGAAATAATTTGTATTTAAAACAAATTTCGGGGAGTGTGTTTGTAATTTACTTTTTTTTTTTTTTAATGTAACTTCTTTTTCATTTCTTTTTTTTTAATGTAACTTCTTTATATTTTCTCAAAAAAATATTCAATTTGATTGCCACATTAATAGATTTAAAAAATAAGTTTAACTTTTACCTCATAATAGCAATATTGTCTCTCAAAAATTATAAAATCACATGGTCGTGTGCCCATTTCGAGTCATCTAAATTTACTTCGGGAGCATTAAATAATTTCTTTGGAATGAGAAAATGAAATAGTGGTTACTTTTCTTATGGAATCATCATTCGCTCAAAATTATATAAGATGATTTCATTTATATTACATTTGTCATCATTTTGTTAGTCTAACCAAACATGAAAATGAATATTTTGATGAAATGATCATTCCATTCTATTTTATTCTAGTGAATCAAATACTACCTTATTTCTCTACTATTCCCATGTTTTTGAGAAATTTTTGTATGCCAAGAAGGTACTACATGACACGGGTAAATGGTATAAATGCATGTCTCTACTATCTCTTAAACACCAAACATAAATGTAATTGACTCCATTATCAAATTCAATCACAATAGAAGACAATATTACATGATATCTACCATCTTGACATCCAAAAATTTCTCATTGTTTTTAATTATTTCTCTACCATTCTCTTATTTTTAGGACCATATAATTCTTAAACATTCTGTTATTTGTCGGACACACTACATGTAACTGCACAATCACGTTGAAATATGTAAGAAATTTGTATAAAAGTATATAAAAATTTGCATTGAAATGAAATTGTTTCTTTTTGCAGTACTTGATAATTAACCATGAAAATAATCTTGGTTCACACTTTTTTTTTTTTTTTGGTGCACGTAAATTATACATAAAATATGATTAGTTTAAATATAAAAATCACATATTCAAAAGTGTAATGATATTACCAAAAAGAATAAATAAATAACTCATGTAATTCTTATACTCTATCTCTTATGTAATTTTAATTGACTTAATTTTGATTTTAAATTTTGAATTATATGTCAATTTAATTTAATTAATAATTTTGGATTACATTTTTTATAGAAAAAGTGCATGTGAACAGCACATGCATTGTTTTTAAGGGCAAAATAATTTATTTCCTCGCACTCCATTCAATTCAGTGGGTCACTAATCTAAAACTTGATGGGTTATTCATAGTGAGTTAACTCACTAAATTGTAACAATCATACAAATAATTAAGGGTAAATTACATTTTGCTTCTTTTATATTTATTTATTTTTCTACATTAGTTCTTAAATTTTTATTATTTTACTTTGGCCCTTCATATTTCAATTTGTTTTCAATTTACTCCAAAAAAATTAAACAGAAATTGACTCATTAACAACCACATAGTACAAAAATATTTTATTATGTATAACTTATATCTCTAAGTCAAATCCAAATCCCAATATGATAATATATTTTTTATGTTATGTGACAATTAACGTATCATTATTCCTCTAATTTTGAACAAAAATTAATTTTAGAAATAAATTGAGAAAATTTTAAAATATGAGAAGTGAAACAAAAAAAATAAAATAAAGAAACAAAATAAGAAAATAACTAAACATAAAAAGACAAAGTGTAATTTATCTATAATTAAATTTCTCTGCTAATATACAGAAGATATAGACAGAGGAGTAAGAGGTTGGAGCTTTGAGAAATCAAATTCCAAAAGCCAATCATATATATCTATATAATAAAGCAGAACGAATTTTGAAAATATGTTAGACACAATTGTCCTACTAGGACATTTCAATGGTTATGATTCATTTGTCTATTTAGATAGATGGCTGAGATGACCCCCTTAATTTGTTTCTAATTTGTTTCCCGTCCAAACACACTCTACTCTCTCTCTCTCTCTCTCCCACGTCTCCTCCCCCTTCTATCTTTATCTCTCTCTCCCTTTCTGTTGCACGTCTCCTCCCATTTCATCCTTATCTCTATCTCCCTCTTTGTTTCGTCTTTGTTCCTCTTCTTTATCTCTCCCTTCTCT